TATATTATTTATTTCAAATTTTTACTTGCTGTAATTCGATTCCTATTGAAATCGTATCAATTACGCCAAAAAGCTTCTTTTTTTCGCGCTGTACTCTTTTAAGGGCGATTCGGCTAATGAAAGTGAAATGCAAATTTTTGCGCGTGTGTATTTTATACTCACGTTGGCTCGCAGGCAACCAAACTTTTCATTGAACGGTCAGTGGTCCACGCTTGGAGCTGCAATACAAGAGATAGAAAGACATACAAAATAGAGATGCATTAAAATTGAATTAAAAATGGCTTTAAAGCGTAGCTGGTGATGTGTGCATGTGTATGTGTGTCTGTGGCAATCATTAGGCACCTATAATTAACACTTCATTAGGTGACTAATCAAGCGTACGCCTGGGCAAGAAATAACAACCAGTTCAGCGCAAAGGCAATGCCGCAGATTAAAGGAGCATCAGCAGGAGCCACAGGCACCCAAGGCAGAAACCATCAACAGTCCAGGACGAGAAGCACACTGAAATCGGATGCATTCGTGCGACGAAGTAAACAACAAGTTCTGGCAAAAGGACGCAAATAAAACGCACAGATTAAAGGATGCCCGGCTGAAATGTCTTCTTAATTACTTCGTAGTGAACACAACGGAAAAGGGACACAGCATGAGAGAGAGAGAGAGAGAGAGAGAGCAAACGGAGAGAAAGAGTGAGTATGCGTAGGACTGAAAAAGAGAGGCAGGATTGACTGCAGCGTCGTAATTGAGAAATCGGTGGCCCGGACTTGAATTGGATTTTAGATTGGGCAGCCAACGTCTCAGCATGGACCACAGCTCCATGTTGGCAGCGCAGTTTAGCGGAAGTAATTTAATTAATTACAAATGAAACGGAAACACGACGCAGTTCAGCAATCTGACACAGACACATGTGTCTGTGTGTGTGTATGCATATAGCATATCACACTGAAGCATATTTTGACTTTGGTAACGCACTTGATGGCTTAATGGCTGCTTAAGCGCTATGCGCAAAATATGGATGAAATGAAGGGCAGGCTAAATAGAGGTAGATAGAATAAGAGTAAGAGTAGAGCTGCTATGCCGCAATTAAAATTTTTGCGCGCGAGCACCGCAAACTAATAGGACAGTGTGTAAGCGCATATACACTCACACATTCACATTTATTCGCACACACGGATACACGCAGACAAACGCATTAAGCACAGCTCATTTGCATTGCGGTTTTAATTGCCAGTCAACCCCTGAAGCGGACTAAAGCTTTTCCTCTCCCAGTCTCTGCTCTTGCTACAGCGCACAGAGCGCTCTGGCTAAGGCTTACAAGGATAATGAAAACAATTTAACGACTCTCTCGACGATACGGTGGGTCAAAGCAGAAAACAAATGTTTTGGCCGCTGCATGTTGAGCGCTTTAACAAATAGAAACCTTTTCCATTCGCTCCATTTCCCCTTAATTTTTTTCTTTCTTTATTTGGCGTTCAGTTTTGCGTGTCTGAGCACAATATTCGCAGATATATATATATATATGTACATAAAAATATGTACATCTATATATATATATACATATATATATAGATGTACATATTTTTGACACTTTAATGAAAATATTTTGCGTAACATTTCGAACAGAGAAGGAAACGTTGATGAATATGCCGCATCCTTTCGCTAGCCTCATATTATTTTAACAAACTGGATTTGCCAGGACAGCGGTAGCTGGGGCAGTTGGCAGCATTTTTAAGCTCCTGTGATGGGCAGTAATTAAATGCTTGACATGCCTTTGGGTATGGGTCGCTGGCTGAAGTGGATTAGCAGCCGAGCAGCAACGAGCCGAAGAGCGGATTTAAGTTGGGTTTGGGTTAAATTAACGCTGATGTTGGCATTATAATTATGGCATGTAGTTAAGTCGATTCTTGGCTAAGCGCTGTACGTGGCAGGTTGATAAGTGAAAAAGAGGTCTGAGAAAGGGGGGGAGGGGAGAGAATGAAAGAGAGAGAGAAGAGAGAGAGAGAGAAAGAGATAGAGAGAGAGAGAGGGAGAAGGGGTGGTCAACACTTTTCAAAAGATGGGAACTTTTTTCCAGATCTATGCCCGCTAAATGACAGATATCATTGTTGCAGGTTTTTGTATACATTTCACATAAATTTAACAATTAATTCCTGCGTTAGCATAATAAGGTATAAGCTACCATAAAGAAGAGCTCATTAAATAATAAACTTTCTCATTTGGCTAAGTGAGTGAACGAGACCAAACAACATTTGCGTAATAAAATCAACAATCTAAAAAGCAAAAACATATATGAAGCAAACAAAGTGATCATCTTCAGTTGCTGTTTCGACCGTTGTTTCAGATACAGTAAACAAATGCAGAGCGACTCAGAGGCTGCGACAGAGTGAGAGTGAGAGAGAGAGACAGGGAGTGAGAGAGAGAGTGAGAGAGTGAGAGTTATAGGAGGACGACACAGAGGTGGGCTCGTTCTTTTTGTCATCTGAATTAAAACAAATCAACGCCATATGAGCATTTTCAAGTGATTGCTGCGACTGCGTTTGAAACTTGCTCTGGAAACAATATAAACAAGCAATTTAACAGCCACTCACACATACACTCAGAGACTCACACTCACTGACAGCTGCTTGAACAAGCAGCAGGCAGTTGCCATGCAAATGAAGCGTTCAAGCGTAAAAAGCCAGCGCCACAAAAAGAGCAGAGAACAGCGACAGGAGGAGCAACAAAAACGTTTTATGTTTGCCAAAGCAAAGTAAGTGCGAGTGTGTGGATGAGTGTGTGAACAGCTGAGCACCAGCGATACCGCAGATTTCGCACACACATGCTTTAAAATATGCCGCAACTTTTAGTTAATGAAATTTTAATCAAGCCAAACCGAGTCCAGAACCCGTTTCACACACAGCTTGCCGCTGGCTTGCTTTTAAGCATCAGCTGGGCAAAGTTTTTAGCCCTTTTTTCACTATGCCTACGTATGCATCTGCATCTCAATCATTGGCGGGCGTTAAAATAGACAGCAGCTTCATTAGCAGCTGCCGACAACGCGGCGTATGCGCAATAATTTATTTACAATGCATTTAATTTATGCCAAGCATTAATCATAAGCCAAGGACAAGGGGTTCTCGTCACGTAGCGAGCAGCGGGAACAAGACGTGAATCTAAAAGAGAGAAGGAGTATGAAAGACAGACGGAGGGAGAGAGTGACAGAGTAAGACAAATGCATTTATTAACAATTTCTGTCATAAGTAAAATTTAAAAACAATGAGCAATAGGGAAAGTTGGTGGCTCTGGCTGCAGAGAGTGGGCGTGACAGTTATAGACGTGAGTGCATGTTGATGATGCCAGCGATTCCATAAATTACGAAGAAAGAGCTAGGCATGGGGTGCAAAGAGAAGAAGAGACAAACAGACTGAGAGTGAAGCAGCGAGGGTATTTGAGGCACATAAATCGCTACCGCCCGAAATTAGGCAACAAATTTACATGCAAAACGAGCTCGACACGCAGCTAAATCACCATCAACAACAACTACAGCCACAACAACAATGTCAGCAAGGTGCCTCTAAAAAGACAAACATTATAAAAAGAAGAAGAAGAAGTGGCAKGGAAAAGTAAAGGCTCGAATATATTAAGAAGCCGCCAGCACTTTCGGCGACATTCCCAAAAAAAAGCTAAAACGAACAGCTTCGGTTTTAAGTATTATTCAGTTGGCAGATACCCTGCAACACATGTAGACAGCGGCTCAAACTACATAGCTTCATTAATAAAGTAACTCTTATACATTTTTTCTTTCTGTTTCTGTACTCTGTATGCACATCTCGTATTTCATTAGGCTCGACAGCAATAATATACGGCTCATTTATAAAAAGCACATCTTAATAAAGTAGGTCTTATATACATTCTGTTTCTATACACTATATGCACATCTCTTATTTCATTAGGCTCATTAGCAGTAATATACCCCTTCTACTCAATTTCAATTACAGGGTATTTAAAAAAAAAAAAAAAAACACTTTTCCTTTTACAAGAGCATTTTCGACTGCGCCTTCTTCTCAGTTATTTAACATGTTTTTTCTCTTTGTTGCTGCTGTTGAAGTTAAGCCTT